TTGTATGCTATACGAAGTTATTACGTTTCTGCGTGACAGTCATTCTGTTTATATTATCACGACTATTTTAATTGCTAAAAATATTTGCACACAGGAAAAACGTTATTGTAATATGTACATATAAAAATATTACTGCGTTAAGTCCATTTTTAACTATAGAAGCAAATTCTCTCGTTATAAAATCAACATAATATTACGAGTATATTGATATAGAAACAAAATTTGCTTTTGTAGTAAAAAAAGTCTATTAACACAACAATATTTTCAGGTATCCATTGTATATTATAATATAATTACTTTAACTTCCACACATATTTTGGCTACCGTAGATAACTTTTTTTCTGTGTGGTAATAATTGAAGTGGTCAATATAGGAATCAGAAGAACAGAGGAAATAGTAAAATACTTTATTTAGTTGATGAACAAGTAGTATTTTTTATTTAAGAAGTTTTTATTTAAGACTAGTTAATATAATAGCAAATATAAACACAAAGTATTTTAAATGCACTTATTAAATCGCATATTACATAAACTTTTAATCAACATACAATTAATTATGTATAAACTTAAAATGACATACATAAGGTTTAATTTGCACTTTAAAATTTTTATGTTAACATTTGTACATACAGGTTTGTCTGTACATTTCTACAATAATATTGATTTCTACAAGAAAATGCATTATTTCATAATGCATATCTTGTAGAAATAAAATATTTACCATCATTCATTCTGACTGAAATAGCTGGAAGATCAAATAAATCATCAATATTAATATAAGAAATTTGAGCATTCATTTCAACATCATACGCATGCACATGTGCATCAAAGCCAATTGTCTGAAAGCAAAAGCACTCAAGGCAAACCTTACAATCTTTCGTGCAATAAATTCTTTTAATTTCACCAAAGATAGGCAATTCAAAATTATCTGACCCAAGAACAACACATGTACCAACTCTGTATCTTGTACCTTTATAATCAATCTAAGGAATCTCTATACAAGCAGTTTTGAAATCAACAGGGATGCACGAATAATCTTCGCTTTCAGGCAATTCGTCTAAAATGTTCCCTGGTCCCATTTCAAATTTCTGAACAAATCCGAGTTGACTTACAAATCTATAACACATTTGCAAGGCTTCTTTGAACGCTAATGTAAAAGTAATATTTTTTCTAGAGTATGTGGCATTTGTACGAATCTTGTTAAGCCTATTCTTGGATTCTTGTCTCATTGTACTAAATAAAGCTAGAGGTCCTAACATTTCAAGCATCATAGGAAAGTGTAGCATAATATGATGCTTCGGTTTTAATTTATCTTTAAAGAGTTCCTGGTACAACGTATGATGTTCAAAAATGAGTTGCTCCAACAATATCGATACTTCTTTTTGAATGCTAGTAGCAGCAACAATATCAAATATTTGGCGTAAAATAAGATAAAAATGCCACAATTTATTACCGCAAGGTACAAAGTCCCCAACCAAGAAACCAAAAGTTAAAAAAAAATTTATCATTTCGGCACCTGACAAGTTTAAATGCTTGCTTCTCACTTCCTCCTCTGTTACAAGTGGTGGCTTGTTCGAAAATCCATTTTTATAATAATCAAAAGTTTTTATTCTTTCATTAAGTACTTGAATAATGAAGTGTTTCTTCTTGAATATTAAATGATATAATAAATGGCTCATTCCATATCGTAAACAACCTTCTGCCATCTCATGTAACAAAGGATCTGAAGCAAAATTTTCGTAAACGTGAAATCCTTTAACATCGTTCCAAATTGAATATTCATTTAAACCAGAGTTGGATAGACCGTCATGAATATCGTTCAAGTACTTTTCTGTCTTTCTCAAATTTTCTTTTCGTACGAAGCAATCTATTTCACAATCTTCTTTTCGTGTAGTACAAAAGCGGCAATAATAAGTGGCATTAAACCCCATTGAATAACCTAATATTGTATTGAGTCCAAGATTATCCCCCGTCAATAAACCAAGAGCAAAGTATATTTTTTTGTCTCCCTGTGGTAAATGTAAAACAATACCACAGTCCTGAAGGAAATTAATTTCATCTACTAATATGCGAAACATAGCGGTATTTTTAAAATGGGCTCTATCAGATGCATGGAACAATAAAGTAACAAAAATTTCATCTAAAGTAGAACGATATTCTGGTGGAATACACGGAATAGTAACATAGGTTCCACCTATTTTTTGAATCGCTTTATGACTCCCCAAAGGATTATTCATTTCAAAGTCGTCGTAATAAACAAAAAAAGGAAAAACAATTTTATCAGAAAAATAATCAGCTTTCTTTTTTCTCCATAATTTACCCTGAACGAAGTTGGATAATACAACTGTCTCTTGCATTAGATTTATCATGTAATTATAACAAGTATCAAACACGCCTGGAAGACTAAAGAAAGCTTTTAAAATTGTACGAAGAGGTAGAAACTGGCCGTGTACGGGAATTATATCTTTAATGATTCGGCCATCAACTATTTTTTCACTTACAACATTACCAACAATATATGGCTTAGGTTTAATAAAATAATCTGTTACTTGCAAAGCTTTCATACGGTTATATTCAGAATTGAAATTCGTAAATAATTTAAAAACTGTATCAAACAAATCAAATATATTTGATACTATTTTCTCAATAGATTGTGTTTCATTACACATAAAACGTATAGCAGGCTTCAGAAGTGATATCATATTAAAAAACAAGGCAGCTGTATCATCCATTACAACTTGAACATGATTTCGGGGCAAAGCTGGATTTGCATATAGTTTCGCAATATAACGTAACAAGCAGTTATGAAGTTTGTCATTGATAGATTCTTTTGAGACCGATTTTTCATTAACAAGATTATCAGAAAAAATTATGTTTTCAATGTCAGAATCACAATCTAACTTGTTACAAAAATTTGTAATTTACCTTCATTACTTTTATTACTACGATTTTGATTAAGACTTTTAACGATAGAATTAGCTGGAAATTTATGATAAGATATGAGATGTTTTCGAAATTTTCTCCATGAATTATAGTCTAATAAACATTGGGGTACTTGACACTTATATACGGTAATTTCATCAAATTTATGAGCGGTATTTAAATGCAAATGTAGAGCATTGACAGAAGTCAAAGTTAAGTTGCAATTTTGTCCTATACACTTCATCATTTTGATATCTTATTAAACGTCCAAAAATATATATCAATTTATTAAAACTCAATGTAAAATAAGTTTTATTCAAACTTATAATTAAAAAAATTTTTTATTTTCATATACATTAGAAATTTAAATTATATATGTATATGTATATTAAGCATTAAAATTATAATTATATATAATTATAATTTTTGTAAATTATAAGTTATAATTAACAGAATTATTATTAACTTATAAAAATGAATTATTTAAATGAATTTAATCATCGGTTAATTGCAAATAATCATTTACCAATGTTGCTACAGATGGTATATGCTCATCCCATTGAGTTTTAAATTGATAAATAGCTTGTTGAAGGAAAAGCCATGGTTGGCTACTCTGAAAGGGATAGGACGCATGCAACGCATGATACGCTTTAAAGCATACATCTATTGCACGTAAAGGACTTTCTACCTTATATGGAAAGTTGTCAATGTAAACGTAGAATTCGGTTATGCTTGCTGTATTTTCACCAATAATAACAGGGAACGGCTGAAGTTGCTTCTTAGCAGCAAGGAGTTTCTGTCTCATGCGTTCCACTTGCACTTCCAAGTCTCGTAAAACCTAAAAAAAGAAATTTTGACACATATATTTTTAGAATTTTTCATATTATTTTCTTCTTTTTTTTGTAATATCCGATTATTAATGTGTTAATGGGAATGTTTCAGTGACTACCAAATTCTGATTGAATGAAAGTGCTTTCATTCAATTGCACAAAAAAATACGATATCGATTTTTATCGTTTTCATCTGATGTTAGATAATTTCTATTTATTATTTATTTATGTAATTTTGTTGTTGAAAGGCGTTTTTAATTCTGTGCAACTAATATGACGTAAACATTACAAAGAGAACAGTCTATACATAATATATACATTCTGTCAGTAAAGTTTTGAACTTCTACAATCCCATAAGCAAAAACATTAATGTACCTTGATATGCAGCAGAAAACCAGAAGTTAAATCTGCAGCTGTAGGACGCCACTTTCCAACATTTGTTGGAGAGAAAAGTGTTGGGATTGCGAGCAGCACTTTCACAGTTTCTTCTAAAAATAAATTGATCTTTGCAGAGTTCATATTAAAAGAAAATAGTAAATCGAAAAATATTTAAATGTATTACCTTCAACAGTTGTGAATTTTATAGTAGTTTTTAAGTTTTTTTATTTTTGGAACAACTTTCTCCCAATTAGACAGAAGTTGCATCAAATTATTCGGATAGAGATGGTTGAAATCTTGTTCTAACTAGAATTGGGAAATATTATTTTAAAATAATATTAAAAACAATAAAATATTATTTTATTTCTAGCAACAATTTACCAAAATATAACCCCAAGGCTGTCGCAAAACACGAAATTCATTGAAGTACTCAGTAATTCCACATATAAACTGCTTTCTCTTTTTTCGTCTATATTCCGTGCTTCTGAGTTTTAATAGTCTTACAGAGGCAGTCTCTTTCCATTTTACAGTAGCCTCACTCTGTGGTTCCAGACACCTTCGTAACCACTGAAAGCTGTCTAATTGTGTTTCTGAAATACCTGCTCCTGTGTAATCATAATCATATATAATAATTATATACATATATATATTTTTAAATTAAAAAATTTAAAAATCAAAGAATGCTACCATTATGAGAGTCATCCACCTCTTGCTCTTCTTCTTGTAAATTAGTATTACGAAGCTCTGCTCTTCTAAGTTTACCTATTAATCTCGTGAGTAGGTATACTATGGGGATTCTACATCAAATATAGGTCAAGGTCAAGGGTGGGGGGAATGTAGGCCAAGAAGGATGGGGAGAATGTAGGTCAAGGAGGAAGGGTGGGGGGAATGTAGGTCAAGGGGATTAATTAATTAATTAAACAATAATCGATTGAATCATCAATTAATTGATAACAA